AAATGTAAATAACAAATTAAACGTTTGCAAGAGTGTCAAACAGGGCCTGGATGAGAAGTTACTGCTAATACGGCAATGCCTTTCAATTAGTTAGGACAATAACTGCTGTGCTTACATTGTGTCTAAGGAGGAAATGCACGATATAACTCTGTACTACCTGTGCGTGCTAAAACTTGTACTTTCGTTATCAACGAAGTTTGAATAACAATAAATTAGGTGATTTTTGATTTTTGCTTATTAATACAGCAGTTCTTTTCTATACGTGGTCCGTATAGGCTGAAATATTTCAATACTTGTGCTGCTGATTGGCAAAAGTCTTGAGTAATGAGTAATTTAAAACAAATTCACACGATATGTAATATTGAAAACAAGACGTAAATCTGTTTTTATTGATAATAAAAATTTATGCTCTAAACACATTATTTTACTGGCAGTAACAAATGCAGTAAATATAGAAATTGCATCCACAATTCCCACATTGTCTACCTACAGCAATTTAAAACACAAACCGTTTTGATATTTCCTACTTCAGTAATTAAATAAATCTTAGGATTGCAAAGTGCATGGTTATTAGTTATGTTCAATCATGTAAATCGACGGTGGAAAATCATGGATCATCCACAAATTTACAGTGTTGGTGTATATTAGTGAATTACCCTTAAAAGACAAGAAAATTACATAATTGTTTAACCATACTTGTAAGTTGAAGACAAAACCTGTGGAATGTGCTTGCACAACCGACAAGATGTGCCAAAATTTATAAAGTTTTCTTCGTGAACAATGTCAACTGCAGTTAATCATGAACGAGGCAATCTGAGGGTGTCCTATGGGCAACTGGTCTGATTTATCTCGCCAAAATTCTAATCAGTGAAACTTTTTTTAAAAAAAAGATGCATAAGATTTTTTACGATGTTATGTTTAAGTAAATAGTCTTGTCGATTTTTATTTGTTTAACGTGGATGTTCAAAAGCCCTTAAGATTTATCTAATGTTGTCTTTGAAATCGGATAGATGTGGTTAGTACCTCAAAATAAAGATTTTTAGAATTCGATTACGCTTCCAGTTTTCAAAGCAATAACCTTGACCGCAGATTCCGAATACTGAAGAATAAACGAACTTTCTACTCGCTAAAACACGTAGAGGTTTATACAAACGCTACAGTAAAAGGATATCCGTTACAGTGTTGTTATCACGCAGATTAAAATTGACATGGCCTTAGTAGTTGTAGGAAGTATCAGGGAGGCGAAAGATTATTTTGGCTGAGGATTTACACGTAAGATGAAAATTGATCATGCCGCTTTATGGTGGCTCGATTTTAATATTTTTGAATGCCATCTGCATGCAGCCCAGTGTTAACTTTTTAAGGGAATATTCAAGGCATAATGCTTACTTACAACATCTGCTATCGCATACAAGATACAATGCACTTAGCTTAAACAAGGATTAACAGAAATTGCGTTTGCGAGATGTTTACGATAACAAATAACATGTTAGTTTTGCTAAAATTCTCATCTTCACGTAACTCTAATCCCAATGAAATGTTAGCGAATGGGAATGATAATAAGCCGAATGGTTGCCCGCCAAAATAGAGAGACCGAAAAGTGATTTAAAGTACTAGAATTATGTCATTCTTAATAAATTAGCGCATTTGCTACTTTTTCGACCTAGTGCTTCGTTCGTTACTAGTTAAGACCTAAAAGCTAGGTAGAATTTTTCAGAATACTCATTTACTACTTTCTATTGTTTGAATTTGTTGGCATGGTTTGAAGTCTCAAATTAATGCTATCACTTATCCATCTGCATCGATTTCAAAATTCACAAGATACTAAACATTAGTCTCAGGTGTTTTGAAACTGCCCATGTAAGTTTAGTTTTACTAAGGAACTGTACTTTTGTGAAAACATTTTTAGTACGTCAAAAAAACCCACATTCAAACATTAGCAGCAGCATTTCTCATTCCGAGGGGATGCATAACCGACGAAATTGGACGTGTGCTTACATAAACCCTGATTTCACAAATCTCAAAATCAATAAAAAATAAATCACTTTTAAACATCATTTAATGACCGAAGCACAAATCTATACACAGTATGCCACACACCCAGTAAACTTTATGTGAATTTTATTAAGCTCTTCTTAAATACAAATATGTATTTCGTGGATTAGTTGCCTAAATGCGATCTAAGGTAATTTTACTCTTTCTGAATATTATGTAATGTGTTGCAGTGGCTAGGGATTTAGCACTACCTTACCACCCTCTGGTTAACAGACCGTACTTACGCGAGGAAAGGTGGAAAAGAGACGACAAAGAACACGACCGTTTACTACTGTCAAACCAGCCAAGTGACTTTGTATGCGCATGAGTATGTGGTGAATAGTGTTGATTCACGTCCAATAACCCTGTCCTCGCAGCTTTCAGCACACCTCCCCCCTCGTCACGTGAGACCGCTGGTTCATCACCCCGCTGAATGTACCATCACCACCACCACTTCCCGCATTGGTCATGTGTCCTCACAAACCCCTGTGTTCATATTTACATGTCACTCAACAGTAAAACGACAAAATTTGGTTGAGCGGTCTAGTAAACGGTCGTGCCTACCATCTCTGGACTTATTGTCTTTATGGGTTAGCCTCGCGGTAAAAGGTCTTCAACAAGTACGCGTGCGTAGCAGGCGAATGCTACAGGGGCCAATAACAAAAGGGGTGAGTCATTGGTCCGCTAGGGACCTCATGCACGCATCACTCACGCGAGGTGGCTGTTAGTCCACTACAAATATTCACCGTCGAGAGTGTTAGCTGTGAAACAGTAAACACTCGACAATAGGAGAACTGAATTGGCAAAGCCGACAACGGGTTCCAGGGGTAGGTCCGATCTCTTCCTGGGTTGACTTGGCTAGCGGAAACGGGAAGTGGAGCGCTGTCGTTGTTGAGGCTGTCTAGATGATAATTCACCCAATCTCAGCAGGTGGTTTGCAACCTGTTAGCTGCTACACCAGAGGAGACGGTTAGATTTTCCGCTACGTGGGTCAGACATTCGTGGATATTAAGAGCCATTTCTGTAAGCTTATCCAAATGTATGCCAGAGCTTTGGAACGAGGAAATTGTGTTCATGCGTGCCAAAAACGTTTTAGTCCACATTTGGCATAGAACGGAATCATTAACCTTGATATCCCCAAAAAAGAGGGTTATATGCAGAAAGAATTGAGAAGGAGACCTGTCAACTTGTTCGATACTAGAAAGTTGGCGTCGACGACGGGCCTTGTTTAAGCTTATCAATGGTGTGAGAGCAACATCATTCAAATCTCAATAGGGGTCTTTAGAAGGCATTGTTCCAAGCTAGTCGATAACGTCCGTAGCAACATCTTTCAGTAGCCATGCACCAATATGAAATAATTTGGAGAACTGGTAGATAATCGTCTAATTACGTAAATGGGCCTCAGGTTGCATTAACCAAACTCGGGCTTTGAGAAAGATCGGGCGAGAGTTGACTGAAATGTTGTTTTCCGAACAGAGGTTTACGGCAATAGAGTCATTCATTGTTTACAGAGGAGAGTTATGAAAATTCGACGGATATCACCAATAAACGGCATCAAAAATAAAGGGGTTTCATTATGTCGGGATAACCAAATGTGTAGTAGCGTGATTTCATCATGTCGGCATCACCAAATGTAGTGGATAGGGATTTAGCACTACCTTACAACCCTCTAGTTAACAGCCCGTAACTACCCGAAAAAAGCGGGAAAAGAGGCGACAGAGAATACGACCGTTTGCTGGCATCACGCCAGTCGGGTAGCTTTGTGTGCGTATGCGACTGCTAACAGTAGCCAATAACAAAAGGGGTGAGTCTTGGTACACTCGGGCCATCATTCTCTAGAGGTTCTTCGGCAAAAATTGTCCGTGTGTGTATCCAAAGTAATTGAATCGTTGCATAGCGAATTAACGCATGCCAACGCAATATTAAAGCCACAACTTTGATGAGACTATTTTGCGAACCATAGACAATTATTAATATCTACATCGCCCTCTTACGTAAACTAACATTATAATTTTGCAAATTAATTTACATATATTTATGCAATTGTAAATTATACTCATCGCATGCACACGGTTAAAGTCTTCTGTTGCAATAGTCCTAAAAATTTCCAGTTAATAACAAGTCACGCCAACAAATTGCTGCATTGCGGATATTTTTTGCTAATCTCCGTGATTATATGTTAATAGACTGAGGTAAGAATTGATTCAACAATTTTTTTTAATTTTGTTTGTTAAATTTTTGAGCACTGGTATCGACAAAATTTGCGTGAGAGGCGTTCATAATTGAAGTGGCTGCAGTAGCGCAGTGCTAAATGTTAAAAAATATTATATGCACCGTTAAATACTAGCTTTATTTTCTATTTCAGGACACTTTTATGGCTGTTAGAAAACTTTGACAGAGTTCAAATCTTGGTCCTGTGGTAAAAATCATATTTTTGTTTAAAATATAGTGATGCACTAATGAGATAACTATGTTGAAGTGCCTAGCTTAATTGAAGCGAACTATCAAAAATACATGGTCAAAAACAGACTCGATGTGTGATATAGCGTCCTTGTATTTCTGCAAAAGGATTTAAATGTATTAGCAACATTACACAAACGTAAGGTGACAAAATGTTTGGTCAATTGAGCATTATAGGATAAGCGCGGAAACACGATCTTAATCGATGATTAAAATTTTTCTTAAGATCCACACAATTTATTTCCCCGAACATTGTCCACGTTTGCATTGAAAGCCAACAGGACATTTACTGCACCTGCGTCCCTGTTCGTATGGCTTCTCGTCGCATATATTTCCGCTAAAATGAATTATAACAAAAAGGGATTATTGTTTGACCTAAACACAATAATAATTTGTGCAACGATAGTGGTCATTAAAATTCGTTACATTTGTCTTGATGACATCCTGAAAAAAAATACATTTGTTTAATAATTTATGTTTGTAAAAGGAAGAAATTAACCGCTGACTTACGGTGGTTTGTATTGGCAGGCCACAAGGTAAACCGGTTTTGGCATATCACTTTCTAATCTATCGCAGAGTTTCATTGCACAGCCAACTTCATTGGAAGTAGCCCATATCATCTGCATAAGCCAACAAAGAGAAAATTGGTCAGTAATAAACGGAAGGGAACTTGTTAATAGATTTTGTTTGACTCGTCTCCATAATTGCTTTCGAATGCAAGATAATAACAATAATATATTGTCGTTGATGTTAGCAACGTTACACAGTATTCGTCAATTTAAAACATACCTGTTTATAACCTCCGCAGTGTCCTGTGCAGCTGTTATTTGCATAAGTATAATTTTTCTCTTCCTCAAACCAACTCTGGATTACGTTTCTTATACTAGGTTTAGAACCACCAGTCATGGCTACAGTCATTGATGTACCCTGATATTCTGGATATGTTTCAGAATCCGGATACTGAAACTTGCAGCGAGACACCCAGTTAAAGGCTGACCTCTCCAGTTCCTGTGAGTAGGTCTATAAAAGAAAAGACTTAGAGTTGCCTAAATTATCAAATTTAATAGTAAAAGGTTGCAGTAATAGGGACAACTACGCGAAAAGATGCTACTTATCATTCCAGATAGAATAAAAATTCAAGATATTTTTTCATGCAAATGATGTTATCTGTTTTGCTAAAAATGACTGGTTGTTATTTTTGGTGTCAATCGAAAAAACACTCGCATTTGAAAAAAAAGAGAGCCAGCCTTTCATTAACTGACGGAGTAATTACTGCAAGTAATATCATGAAGCCTGCCATAAATGACCTGATAGCATCCTCAAAAGTTGACAGGTAAAGCGCTATTGTATGGTAAAATTAGAAGTTGATTGCTTTACATACCATCAACTGCATGTCGCTGGCTGGTGGTTTAACGCGTTCGCGTTTGTTTGAGTGAAAAGTGAGTATTGCATCACGTTCCTTTTGATTTGGAACTTGGGCCATTGCAAACGAAATTAAAACAAGTAGAGATAAAACTTTGTCCATTTCTTCTAAAACAAGAAAAATTGTTGATATTCCAGTGTTTTTTTTAAATTCTAACATGTTTTATATATGATTTATTTAGCTATCAACCAATTGCTTGAAGGAAGAAACAGTGTAGGTGGACCCTAATTGGTCCAAGCTGCTTAAACATGAAATGACGAATGTAATGTATCAATACACAATTGCTCCGTGTAATAACAAAATATGGTGAATACGTCTTACGTATGCAATTGCTTGTGTTGTTTTTTGTAAAGAATTACACACCATCGTGATTGTCAACTATCTCGGTGTGTTCTCAATAACGTTTCTAAAACCAAAACAAATAATGCGACCGCTAAAAGCACTTTACGTTAGTTGGTATTCAAGTTTATTTATCAATGTTGCTAAATATGGCCATGTAGCCCTGGAACGTAAATTTCTCAACTACGGAAGATGTTAAAAGCAACATTTTACAGGACTTTAACTGGTCTGTATGGATAAATTATAACTTAAAAGCCTTTGAGCATATAATCCACTTATATGAGTAAAAACGTTAAGATTAAAAATCAACGATATTTGGGAATGGGATTTTTCGTTCAATGCTTATTCCTTTCTGATAACAGTACCTAATTCAACATTTAGGAAAAATACAAAACAGAAATCTTTCATCAACTTCACAGAATAAAATTTTACATAGTTAATTAGTGGGTAATATTCATCCTTTCTTGAAATTCACTGCTGGTGAGTAGAATTAGTTAATTCAGAATTATTTTCACATGGCATTTACTTTTCTCACATTTCTGCATTAAGATATTTACATGCGCAGTAGAAATAACAGTTTTATAACTCTGCATCTGATTCCGTCTCGAGGACCATAAGAATAGAAGGCTAGTAAACAGTTTTAAATCAGTTTATCTTTGTCCCTGTTTGGGTACAAATTCTGAAAGACATTTCGTAGTTGGTGCAATGCTTAATTTGAACCAACAAAATTCTATTTAATTCCTTTCGGTGCTTTTGCTCTCAAGGATTTTTCGATTTAATAAATCATTTAAAACATTATTAATTTAATGTTCTATTTGCATCAGTTCGGTATAATTTCGCACCCTTTAGAAGCACAAAACTGAAATTTTATTCTCAACCAACCAATTGAAAAGTAAGAAAATGGTGTTTTCTATTATTTTTTGATCAGATGCTTGTAATTTATAATTTGTTTTTGTGATCTTGAACAATTCATAAAAGGATCATGATGACTGTGGACTGTATATACCAATTTAACTTATTCGCGACTTTAATCATTAAGTTTTCTTTAATACAAGTGTTGTGATAACACAATTGTTTATGTTTGTTACGTTATTATGTAAATTTAAAAAAAAGAAACTTCAATCATGGCTACTAGTGCTCCGCAATAGCGGTGCCCAAAAATATCTATTTTCTTAGACAAAAATGGAAAGGTTTGATAATGATCATTTCTCATTTCTAGCCACAAACGCAAAACAATCAGCAGAAGCACTTAGAAGCAAAACTGAGGCTTTGTCGATACGGTAAAATAATTTGACGCTTACGTATAACGCGTCTTAATATTTCGGTAACTAATGTTTGGGCTAGCTAAGTAAAATTAAACTTCTGTTTTTCATTGCTTTCAGAAAAAAACCTGTGCCAGGAAAAGGATGATTAGCATGTTCTTGGTAATCGTTTTTCAGTTTGCTTAGTTTTTTTCATCGTAGTTAATTTTTTATACCAGGAGTACAGTGCTACTTAAATTAGGTCTAGCTTAGTTCGGGCTCTAATATTATTGCTAATGGAGATTGAATTTTAAGTAATACATACTATTTCTGCCCAAACAAAATTGAAAAACTCTTGCATTTGTAGAACGTGCAAGTGCGTCTGTAATATAAATCTCATTAGTAGTTCAAGCAACGTGGTGATGGAAAAAAAGTTATCAAATAAACTGATTATTGGCACTTATGTATGTACTCTGGCCTTTTGTTTATATAGACTGCATGCAGGTTGATTCTTTGATGTTTAGATGTGCTAAATCCACTAAGATATTTTGTAAAAAATAGCTAAAGGTTTATTTTAAATAAATTAACAGAAAGCTCTGGAGTCAAGTTAATGCTATAACCATATAGAACGCTAAAGATGATCTTTCAAAGACTAATACGTAAGCAAGCGCTAATGGTAAATTGTTTTCTTTCATTTACCAGTTGACTAAAAATAGAAGCATTATTAATACGACAGCATAATACGTGTCCGTATGTATGATTCAGTGGTCAAAATAAATTTCGTTTGAAATAGCAAATCAGGAACGTAGTTGAAATGAAAATCGTAAAACACGTATTTGTAATGAAAATGAAGATTGGCAATAGTAGGCCACGAAGCCTGTTTTTTTTAATTTAGTGAAATCGTATTTTTTTGAAATCCGTTATAAGTTTTAAGTACGAAATATTCAATCATAAAAAAACATAAAGGCAGGATAAAATTAAACGACCTATGCAAAAGCCAAATGTAACCTGCAATTTTGTTATGTAATTAATAATAAGTATTAACCTCTTGATTTCGTACGTAAAACTGATGTCTGTCTTATAACTTATCGGTGGAATCTATCCGTTTAAAGCACCTTTGCATTTTTTAGTTGCAATAATTTAAGCAACCAGTCTTGACCATCTTGAGTTGCCATCATAACATGCAGTAAAATGCCGCGCTGGGTATGTCCCTTCCAAATTAGTCAACTTAGATGCCTTTTTCGCTGATTAAGCAAGACAAGCAATAAAGCACAAATTAGAAATGTTTAATTAAGGCAATTTCTAGAAAACCGCAGTATATTTATGTAAATTTTGATATGAAATAGGTAACAAATTAACATCAATTGCCCCATACATAGAGGATAAATGCAAAGCGTTGGCTTAACGACGTAACGCATATACACTTCTTCGAATCTGTAACTAACAACTATATATTATTATAGCAGTCTTTCGAAACACCAATCTAGCCCTTTAACTAAATTAATCATATTTCAAGTGACTAGTTCGACTGTATAATGTTTAAAATAATTATACATTATATTTACTTAAATTTGCAATATTTATCACACTGACATCCTATCAGCCCTGTCCATATTGTCCCTTACATCCACTAGAGGTGGATAAAATTTCGTGTTTTTTTTTTAAAAATATATCAAGTGCTACATGGCTTTAACGTCCAATATAGACGGCATATTACTTAAGAAAGCAAACTTAATTACCTTTTATTGCATGGACAAAGCAAGGACATAAGGGTTAGGCAAATGGTGAATTAAAATTAAGGGTCATTTTAGTTGTCTAGGCTGTGAGGGGTGAAAGAGTATACTTTTGAGATATCCGACACTTTCGTTTTGAAAATTCTCTCCTTATTTGATTACACACTGATTGCGTAAGCATTTAGATCCGCGGGGGCATCGGCCGCAACTTCGACCTTGTATGTAGGGCCTGAGGTAGGGATTGTAATCTCTGAATAACAGATTTAAAAAAAATAATTAATTACCAATTAAAACCTGCACACAGGACAAGGGAATATGAACAGCTCTGTGATTTTACCTCTAAGTATGCTCCTAAAGATTTATATTCAACATACTCAGACTTAAGACTAAAGCATTAGCTTACGGGGATTTGTAGGCACACCCAACGATGTAAACGGGTGTTTTCAGATTTCCATTCAACTGCTTGCATCTCTTCATTGCGCAGCCGAGTTCAGTAGACGTTGCCCATACCATCTTGAAATAATAAACTTTAGATTTGTTAACAACGCCTTGGAGAGTATAAAGAAAAATTTTATCACGGATTGTAGTTTGTAGTGAATCGTGTTGATTCAGGCTGAATAACCGGGTCGTCCGCTTTTAACAGTGTGGCCATCAGTAAATATGACCGCCTATTCATTCAATCCTCCGTATGTATCAGCACCACCCTCTCTATCCACGTTACCATTGAGACATCTTCATTTTCACTATTCCACTCACTTGCGTCAGTCAGCAAACACATGACTCATGGACCAAATTTAATCCACGCGAACAACAGAACAACTTGGTCAACCTGTCTACCAACTCTGATCTTTAACTTAGGGTACTACGCATGGTATATGGCCACAAAAATGCCAACATTCCCACTTCTACTAGCATCAATCAGTTGAAGTGCTTCATGAAGGAAATTTGAGCAACCCCAGCAAGAGTTTTTTCCCCTCAGGCACATAGTTAGCCACTTGTGGTAACTTCTCCCTATGGTTTCTTACTCTTCGTTGGTGGCGAAAATCCTTGAGACCAACAGTCCAGCTTGATGATTTTAATGTGTAATTTTTAGCGTTTACTGTGTGTCACAGCCAGCACTCTCAAGGAGGGGAATTATTTGTAGTAAACGTTCACTAAACGATCTTGAGTGAAGCGCATTTTCAAGGTTATCGAATGTCATCGGCCGTCGATTGCAGCTGACTTTCGGTATTCACTCACGCTTTTTGTAGTTAGAGACTTGATTAGTGAGATGTAAATAAATAGTTTTTATTGCTATCAACGGTCATGCTTCTCCTTTCAGGCTGTTACGCACTCTCGGGTTGCAGAATTGTAATCTAACATTAACGAAGCCGCTGCATTTATTCATTGGGTACTTTGCTAGGTGTAGGCCCATTACACACTGCATAAATTGATTACCATAATAATGAAAATATAGTGCCAGTAATGGAATTCGAAATGAAGGCAACTACCTTTTTGTAATGATGGAAAATGCCCCTGCAATTGTCTACATAAAAACTGTAGTTGCTTTTTTCACTGTCCCACTTTCGTGCGGCATTTATCATGACGGGTTGGGTTCCATCTACCGCCATAATATTCATAGTAGTTCCCCTGAATTGCGGATAAGTTGTTGGATCCGGTTGCGCCGTGTCACAGTGAGTTATCCATTCGAGAGCCAAGTCCTCCATTTTCTTAGAGTAGGTCTAGATCAGGACACAAATTTCAAAAGTCTCGTGCTGCAGTGTGTAGTAACTTGATGAACATACTTTTGCTAGTATGAATTAAATAACATCTGCTAATATCATTGTCAGAGATTAAAGATATGTGAAAGCGTTCTGTAAAATTATCCTCCTTCTTTTACTTCGCGGCATATATAATTTTTGCAGTGTGACTTTATGTATATGCCTTTATGTTGCAAATATTTCGGTATTATTTACAGTTTCAAATTTTTATTAGTAAAAATTACATACATGGATGATTCGGTTGACTCACCATCATTTGCATATTAGTAGCATATGGATAAACGCTTTCCCGAACACGAGTGTGAAACTCAGTTATTGACTTGCGTTCCTCATCTGATGGCCTCTGAGCCATCACACATACTAACACCAGGAGAACACATGAGATGTTGTCCATGGCTAGCAAATGCCAAAGTTCTTCTATCAATGGCCACAAAGGCAAGAATATTTGGAGCAAATAGGATAACATGTATTTAAGTCACATCCCAACCAATAGAAAAATTAAAAGAAAATTGTTTTCGTCCTATTAAAACTACACTCACCCCCACAAACTCTGAGCATAAGCTTCAAGCATCACTACGAAATAAGAAAAACAAACGACTTAGAAGTGGTAACTTGTATGGCTCTACGTTTATGGCTGGCGCAAAAAAGTCAATTTAGTTTAAAACAATGGTGGACCAATCGAAGACTGTGACCTTGATATTTACGTATGAAAATGATAAGGAATCGCTTTAATAAATCCTCCTATCATAATCTGATTATCTTTTTTTTATAGAAAAAGACCAAAGTGTGTAGTAAGACATAAGAATTACATATCTTTAGCAAGAATATCACATAAGCGTCCTTGCCGATCTTTGTGGTTGCTTATGTTTTTGGTAACTAGTGACTTGTCTGTACTTTCAACGTTTTGCAGTGTACGCGAATATTCAGAAGAAAGAGGAGAAAGGTGAAATGCAGATGTTTAATTTTCTGCTTAACTTTATGTCTCATTGCGTGTCTGTTACGGAGCATGTATGCCTATTTATCAAACACACCTAACACTAATCACCGAAATTATATGATTTAGTTCGCATATTCTGAAACATTTGAGTTCATTAAACCAAAAAAATATCTGCTGCCACCTTAAAAAGTCACTGCATTGCAGGCAGGCGGTGCTATAATAAAAAAAATAGCCATCTGGTTAAAGTAGCAAACAATTAGGTTTAATTCCCAAAGTAAGGAATCTCAATACATACTGGCAGTTCTTAAGTGTACTAATGTGTAAAGTGTTAAAAAACATACACCTCTAAGTACTAAGGCTCTTTTTAATCATTTCAAAAGGGGAAAATAACTGATTGGAATTATCTTAATTCAAAAACTATAAAATTCACTTGATGTTGGGACTTTTTGAAAGACCTGATCAAATCCAATTTAAATAATGCATAGTAAAATAAACAGAATCGTATAAAGACAACAACATTAGGAACCGACGCGATGCGTCTGTTTACAAAAAAAATAGGTTGCAAATCTAACTAATTTTAATCTTCATTTATGTATTATTTTGTTATTTTCTATATTATTTATAAATCCTATTTATTTAACCCACAACATTCAAAGTCAAAAGAAAGAAGCATGTCAATTTTACAATAACAAAATAACCAAACTATAACCATGTTATTAATATCTGTGTAAGAAGACAACTAATTGAAAAGTTTAATAGATAAAAATGTTACTGGCAAAACAAGCTTTGCTACAAGCTATTTGTTTTATAAATGTTCCGCAACCAAACTGTAGACATTTTAGCTGGGTTATTTAGCAATTCAATGGCTTTTTGAAATGCCAGGAATTAGAATCAAATCAAAACACAAATCTGGGTTAATTAATATTCATCCAACCTAAAGCTTTTGAGGACAGAATCCGCAGCTAGAACAAGACGTAATCCTAAGATCTTGGTCATTATAACAATCTTTTACGCTAGGCTGAATTCATATATTTAACGTCAGCAAATCCCGACACAACTACTGATATGAGCTTGCGTGCAATAATGTGCTTGTAAATTATAGGCTTTTTTATTTAAGTACATAAACCAACAGTTTGTTATGTATTAAAATCTAGGTAATTAATCATGTAGAGCAGATGTAACAGTTTAAAAAAATTATTTTTTCCGCTAGGAGAAAATTTATTGCAATTTAGCAAACTTGTTTCTCTATTGTGTTCATTGAAATTAATGCAAGAGCCAAATTTTGATAATGTTCATTGACTTCGTAGATTTGAGTGCCCAGTAAAGAGCTTTAGAAAATAAGATTTGAAGCTGAAGTTTAAAGGCAGCAATATTTCAGGTTGCATGCATTTAATCTTGATGTCACTTCATAAAAAATCAACCAATAATTGTTTTAGCTTTATTATTTTAACATACTTGGGTAAATTTTAGCATGTGGTTACTACCTAAACTAAGCCTACAGTTGAATTTTCAATGCATGCATATTTACAATATTTATTGGGGACAGCAGTTCACGAAATCTTTACCACAAGATTGTGGCAAAATAACTTCGTTAAAAAAGGTTGTTTGCTTCTTTGCAATCTGCAAATTATTCTGTTTTGTACCAAAGTAGGCAGCAATGTGGGAATTGTGGAGACAGAACGCATGGTTGCAGCGTTTATTGCTACCAATGTAAACATGTGTTTAGAGCATAATTTGTAAGTAGTAGTAAAGAAATTTATGACTTGTTGTCAGTATCACATATCATGAGAATTTTCCATCTCTCTTTACTTTGCATGCAAAATATTTTGCATTGCTTAATTAATCTCCGGTGCAATTAAATGCATGCGTGTGAGAATTTTAGCTAACTTTTCAAACACACACTCGACATTTTGGCTGTTAATTCATTGAGTATTGTATAAATATATAAACCATTTTGTACTCACAACCTGACACGTAACACTAATTGTAAGGCACAGGTTGCCACCTTTGCATATTTTGCATTCAAAGCATTTTCTTTATCTTGGAAAAATGGACAGAGTGCTTTGTGTGCTTCTGATATCCTTATATGTTGCGGCAGAGCTCCCATCACAGAAAGAACGCGACTCAATACTTGAATATCATACTAATCTACGCGAACGCGTTTATCCATTTGCCAGTAGCATGAAGATGATGGTGAGTCAATCCAAAACTAAGCGTTTAACCATAATTTATTTTTTAATTGGCTCCTTCCTATAATTCTACATCACTTAGAATTACTTGGCTTGTTGATATTAAACAAGGAACACATTTACGTGAGTCAAAAAACAGTTTATGATAATCAGTAATTGTTATTAAGAAAATGAACTGTCTCTTCCATTTAACAGCTAGGAAAGGCACAACAATTGGTTTAATCAGTCTCAATGATAGTACGTATTTTGAATAGCACCCAGCATATATTCACGTTTTTCCATTTTCGACACTCATTTCGACATTTTATTGCGAATAGACCTATTCACTGAAATTGGAGAAGCTAGCTGATCAGTGGGTATCGCAATGCAAAAACGAGGAGCCAGATCCCGCAACAGATGGTGAAATCTCCTTTACATCGCAAAACAGAGCACTGGTTGGTGGTTTTAAACCAACTTTGTCATATGCGGCCTCCATATGGCACAGCCAATTATACAGATACAATTATACGCTTAACTTTTGCTGGGGTAATTGCCAAAATTATAAGCAGGTAAACGTCTTGCATATCAGTGTTTCCTGGTTGAAAGGATTATCTATTTTAATTTATGCAATATTGCAAAGTAGAACTAATATGTGTTGTTGAAGCAACGTTTTTCTAAATGTGTATTTTATCTACTTTGAAGATGGTGTGGGCAGCGTCAACAAAATTGGGCTGTGCCATGAATAGGTGTGATAACTTAACGTCTACTTTGCAAAGGCCCATCTACTTCGTTGTTTGCGTCTATAAACCAGTGTAAGTTCAGGTAGCATAGTCACAGGAATTTGAATTTGCAATACTTCGCACTATTTTCAACTTCTATGACTGTAATTCAAACTAATTTGGCTTTTCTATAAATGTTTCAACTCACATACTTTTACATTCAAACGAGTATGGCTTTTCTATAAATGTTTCAGCTTACATAGTTTTCACAAGATGGTCTACACAATTCATTATTAGCTAATGTAGGGACATGTACTAATAAGATGTCTCCTTGGGTTTTTTTCAGAGGTGGTTTTTTTACCCCAAAGCCTTACACAGCTGGTCCCAGTTGCAGCAAATGCCCACGAGGATATGGATGCTCACGCAGACAGTGTACGAAACCTTAGGTTTCGGGCCTGACAAACAAATTATTCCTCATTTAATTGCTTCATTCGCGCTTGCTTATGGGAAGGTTTTAACTTGCGGACATTGACTGACTTTGTGAAATCTTTTTAATTAATTGCTATTGACACATTTCTACTTTTTGTCCTCTAATTTTCTAAAAGCAGTGATTTGCGGAATTTTTAATGTTGACGAGGTCAAACATGCCACGTCATTAATTTCCTAGTGAAGTTAGGCTATTTAATCAGCTGTTGGTTCCTTTAAGTTGCAAAGGTATAAGGACTTAAAATATTTTTTACAGTAAACTCGATATGGATGGCACTTAACTATTTTAAACATTCTACGCAAAGTACTGCATTACATCCCTACATTAACTGTAAATTAATTAAAAGTTGGAGAAACGAAAGTTGTGACTATAGTCATTATATTCTGTTTGTCAAATCCTGACTGTACTGGTTGAGAACGGAACAATTGTTATCTTTTTATGGTGGCAAGCATATATTGAACAAACTGAACGCTTTAAGCAAGAAGAAGGAATGTCTAATAATGTTTGTTAAGCTAATAAAAGAGAATGTAGAACAAATGGTGTATACCAATACCATAATTCATGCCCCAAAGAAAGACAACAGTTATTGATTCATATCTGTTTAAAATCTGCAACATTTCCAGTAACTTTTAGTT